CCCAAAGGGCAGGAAGTCAGCTGGGGTCATAGGATTCCAGCAAGATAAGCATACAATTTTCTCTTGAAGGTGTTCAATGTAGGTGCTTGAACCACCTCTGATGGCAAGCTATTCCAGTAAATAAATTGTTCCTTGTGTCCAGCCTGAAATGGTCTTGCTGGAGTTTATAACCATTCGACCTCATCATCCCTTGGGGCACTCTGGTAAACAAATGTTCCCCCAGATACTGGTGGTCACCCCTGATAAACTTATAGGTGGACATCAGATCACCCCTGAGCCTGCACTTTTCCAGGCTAAAGAGCCCCAGGGCTCTCAGCCTGTCATCGTAAGGTCTGTTTTCCATACCTCTGATTATGCACGTGGCTCTTCTCTGGACTCTCTCAAGCTTCTCCACATCCTTTTTGATTTGTGGGGCCCAAAACTGTACGCAGTACTCCAGCTGCAGCCTCACCAAGGCCGAGTACAAGGGGAGAATGACATCCCGGTATTTGCTTGAGAAGCATCTATGGATGCAAGCCAGCGTTTTGGTTGCTTTACTAGCCGCAGCATCTCATTGAAGGCCCATGTTCATCTTGTGGTCAATGATGACCCCCAAGTCTCTTTCTTCCGTAGTGCTAGCCAGTGTAGCACTGCCGAGCCTATAAGGATGCTGCAGGTTTTTCCTCCCATGGTGGATCTCCTGAAAACCTTGCGTTCATGGATCTCCATTCATGAATCTCCTGAAAACCTTGCATTTTTCAGTGTTAAACACCATCAGGTTCTCGTCCACCCATTTGCTGAGCCTGTCCAAGTTAGCCTGGATCGCCCTCCTGTCTTTAGGTATGGATGCCTTGCCCCCAAGGTTGGGTGCATTTGCCTTTCCCCAAAGTTTGGTGTCATCGGCGAACTTGGCCAGTCCGCTTCTGACTCCAATGTCCACATCATTAATGAACATGTTGAACAATATGGGTCCAAGGACAGAGCCTTGGGGGACGCCACTGGTCACAGGGCACCATGACGATTGACTTCCATCAATTACCACCCTCTGGGTCTGACCACGAAGCCAATTTCCCAGCCATCAGATAGTGGTGGACCCAAGGCCACAATTGGCCAGTTTTGCCAAGAGGTGATCATGGGATACCAGATCAAAGGCTTTTTGGAAGTCAAAATATATGACATCAATCTGTTCTCCCTTGTCCAGGTGATAGGTCACCTGGTAATAAAAGGAAATGAGATTGGTCAAGCAAAACCTACCACAACAAACCCATGCTGGCTGTCCCTCAGGATGTTGGTGTCAGCCAGTCCATTAAAGATGGCCTCTTTAATAAACTTTTCTAAGACCATCCCCAGGATAGAGGTCAGGCTGATGGGCCTGTAGTTTGCTGGATCCACTTTCCTCCCCGTCTTGAAGATAGGCACCACATTGGCCTTCTTCCAGTCTTCAGGCACTACACCAGAGCGCCAGGAGTTTGCAAAGATCCGTGCCAGGAACTGGAGTTCTTGATGGCCTTCTTTATCATACTAAGGACAATCCTTTTATATAACAAATATATGTATATATCAATATATCAAAATTCTCAGAAAAGCAGATACTTCCTTTAGCTACTTCTAGATGTTTTGCCTTTTGGCTACAAAATCAATGCATATAGTTCAATAGTGAAAACTATTAACATAAAAGGGAAAATGAAAGGACAGGAGATTGCCAGTACTGTTTTAATGTACTTCAAGTCCTCAGTTTATTAGACTGTTACCATTCTTTACATTACTTCCAACTTTTAATGTTTTGTGCTGTACATGTGTTTAGGGTTGTTTTTTTCCAAACTCATTATGTTTAACTTAAAATATTTTTCTTGAAGAGCAGTTCATGTCCTGGTGTGTGACTATTTGGTTTGACACTAGTCTTTCCTGTTTGAAATGACAGGTTTTGGAATATGCTCATCCACCTACCTTTGGGAGGTAATCAGAGAGAAAGAGGCTTGAACAGTAGGGAGATCATTAGGCTCAGTAGGGAGATCATGGATCTCCTGAAAACAAAAAGAGAAGCCTATAAAAGATGGAAGCCAGGAATTACCCCGAAGGAGAAGTCCACAGGGAATGGCCTGTACCTGTAGGAATTGTATTAGAAAAGCTAAGGCAGAAATGGAATACAGACTGGCAACAGAAACCAAAAACAATAAAAAGCCCTTCTTTAGGAAGCAGGAAAAAAAAAAGGGAAATGTAGCAGCCCTGCAGAACACAATGGAACAGCTGACAACTGACACTCAGGAGAAAACTGAATTCCTAAATGAATACTTTGCACTGGTATTCCACCAGACAACGGACATTAACACACCAGACAAAAAACTGGATGGACAAGGTGGGGGTGATCGCCCACCTATAATCAGTGAAGATCTTGTGAAGGAATACCTAGAGATGCTGAAAATCTATAAGTGGGCAGGACCCGATGAACTATACCCTAGGGTGCTGAAAGAACTGGCTAACATGATCACACAACCAATGATAAAGCTATTTGAGAACTCATGGTGCTTGGGCAAGGTCCCAGAAGACTGGGAAAGGGCCAAGATGATGGTACCTATCTTCAAAAAAGGAAGGAAGGAGAACCCAGGGAATTATAGGCCAAACAGTCTGACCTCAATCCCTGGAAAAATCCTGGAAAAAATTATCAAAGAATCCAGCATTGATAGGGTAACAGAAGGCAGTATTCTAAATGACAGTCAAGATGACTTTGTTGCCGGCAGGTCATGCCTGACCAACCTCATCACTTTCTATGATCAGGTAACTCACCACCTGATTAAGGGAGATGAGGTCAACCTCATATACTTGGATTTCAAAAAGGCTTTTGACTTGGTCTACCACGATGTCCTCATGGTAAAATTTGCAAGTTACAGCCTCAACAACTTAATTATCCAGTGGCTAGGAAACTGGCTCTGAGGTCAGACCCCGACGGTGCTAATAGACAGAACTGAGTTGACATGGTGAAAGGTGACCAGTACTGTCTCTCAAGGCTCAGCACTCAGACCAGTACTTTTCAACATTTTCATCAACGATTTGGACACAGGTGTGGAAAGTGTACTGGCAAAGTCCGCAGATGACACCAAGTAATGGGGAAGTGCAGTCACACTGGAAGACAGGTTGAGGATACAGGCTGACCTGGACAGGCTTGTAATGAGGGGGATCTAAACCTGATGATGTTTAATACCAAGAAATGTAAAGTGCTCCATCTGGAGAGAAACAACCCACAGCATACCTACAGGCTTGATGGCACAACATTAGCCAGCACCACAACTGAAAGAAACCTGAGGGTCACGATCGACCATAAAATGAACATGAGCCACCAGTGCCATGTGATAGCCAGAAAAGTGAACAACACTCTGGCATGCATCAACTGATGCATCACAAGCAAGACTAAGGATTTCATCCTCCCGCTCAACTCAGCATTGGTGAGGCCACAGCTAAAGTACTGCATCCAGTTCTGGGTGCTGAAGTTCAAGAGGGATGTGGAGAAGCTGGAAAGAGTCCAAAGGAGGGCCACATGAATGATTAGAGGTCTGGAGAACAGACCATATGACAAGAGACTGAGGGACATGGGAGTGTTCGGACTGGAGAAGAGAAGACTCAGAGTGGACTTGGTGGCAGCCTTTACATATATAAGGGGTAAACATCAGGGGCTAGGAGAACACCTGTTCACCAAGGCACCCCAGGGGAAGACTTTGAATAACGGTCATAAACTGATAGAGGATCGCTTCTGATTAGGCATTAGGAAAAACTTCTTTATGGTTCATGCGTCCAGAGTCTGGAATAGACTCCCCCCAGAGGTGGTAAAGTCACCTTCCCTGGGGATCTTCAAAAGATGACTGGATGCAAACCTTGGTGGGGTCATCTGACCTCATCAGTCTTTCCTGCCTTGAGAGGGGGGGCTGGACCTGATGTTCTCTGAGGTCCCTTGCAGCCCCTAACTTCTGTAAGTCTATAAACACTTAGTTCACACTGGAATTACTTAAATATGATTTTTCATGAAGAATGGTGGAAGTGTGGTCTTCCAAGCAGTAAATGTGACAAAGTACCTGGAGGCCAGGGGCACTGTAGCCCTTACAATCTTTTGAGACCTGGCCAGCAAGAGAAGGAAGTTTGTTCTCCTCTGGCAAATGGGAAGTCAAGAGGCATGCAATTCGTTCCACTGCTACCACTATCCATTTAGAACAGTTTTTCAAAATGTGTATGCATAACTTTGTATTTTCTATCAAGTGAACATTCAAATACCAATTTTGTTGAAGAATGTTGTTATTTTTAGATGCAAATACATTTGAATTCAGTTATGAATGCACAATTAGAGGTTGCACTGAAGATCTTCAAATTATCTGACCCTGTACTTTCAACAGTCACAAAACTCAGTACTGAAAATAGACCTACAACATCCTGTGTTGTTAAATAATTTAAATTATGTTTCTCAAAATATATAGGACTCAAGGACTCAAAGTTTCAAAGTTGACTTTGAAATTTTATTAGCATAAGGTATGGAGTCCACACACACAAAAATTATCACATTGGGTTATCCAAAATTCTGTTTCAAATAGAATCCACAGTAGATCCAATGATGCAATAGATCTAGTTGTTTACTTATAAAGAAATTAATTTTAAAGTAACAGAACTGAAGCTGGAAATAAAAAATATAAGCCTTATTTTAAAAGAGATCTGATCTAGAGTGTAAAATAAATATAACTCTTGGTTGCTTGCTCACAATAGTCCTTTTAATCTACTCCAGAGGTGAGATTTAAGAATCATAGGTCTCTTGCTAAACAAAGCTGAGGATCTGGGTTTGTTATCTCTGTGTACACAATATATCTGTGTATATGCAGCATATTTGTTTCTCTGTATATCTCTCTTTGTCTCTCTTACTACAATATATTTAGGTATCCAGGTAGGCATGTTTTGTTCTGAAGCTTTGTACAGAACAGGTTTTTTAATTACCTTCAATTTAAGGTCAACTTTACTAAAAAGGTACTGGATTTTATGTTATTCAGGAAATATGAATGAAATGAAGAGGGGCTGTGTCTTAGTTCCTACTTTATTCCTGTTGCTCAGCTGTATCCCTTGGCAAGTGACTGCAGATCCAGAGGACAGAGAGGATGAGGACATTCCAGGTAAGAATGTACAAATATTGTCTAGGAAATGTTTCTAACTGCAATAAACCAATGAATTAAATGTTTTGTGGACCTGACCATACAAGCAACCAGCCCTAAAAAATATAATGGGCCACTGTCCTTGCAACAGTATGTTAAGAAATTGTGTGTACATGTGTGTACATGTGTGTACATGAGTACAGTAGAATGACTGGAGGAGGGGAACAAGCAGAGAACCAGCCTTGGACACCTATGAATGGGTGTGAGAACCCTCCTCTCCCCCTCACAACTGGGAGTCTGTACCACAGGTGCTGCCCAGTTACAGGAGTAGGGCAATGCAGCCCCACACCCAGGGTGCAAATTAC